ACCGTATTTTGTGTGCGCTTATTGAATGTTTATTATTTAATTAAAATTCCCCATTTGTACATTTTCTCTCTCTCTCTCTCGTTTATCATTCATTCTCATATAGTCTACCATATTTTTTTGTGTCATTAAATCAAAACGTTGAACCAGCAGCGACAAAAAAACTTAATGCCGAGAAAATAATCGAATTTGTGACCCACGAATGTGAGTTCAGTCCAAAAAAATCACTTATTTAACTACGCTATGAGAAAAAAACATAGTCGCAGTGTGTTTTTATATAAATTGCTGGTTTGAATGGCTTTGTTTCGGCTCAGCAGAGTGTGTATCTGCTATTAATTCAAAAAGGCAATTGTTAAAAATACAGTTGAAACTTTCATTAAATGCTTCGTTTTTTTTCGTATATGCATGACGACTCATTCAAATGGCTATATTAGGATCTAATGATCGTTAGATCGGTTGCATCAAGAGGGATTTTAAAACTTGAACAAATACGGTTCTATGTCATTGCATTTATTGTCTGTCAGCCAAATGTTATCATACAACTTCCGAACGATACAAAGGTTTAATCCAATACACTAATTTGCTGTTGCTGCCGCTGCCATCGACAATGTTCATTCAAATTTCAATTGTGTAAATGCATGCTCCTGTGCAAGTGTCGAACATCCGGACTGGGCTTCCACTTGGTTTTAGTGACGAAATAACAACTTTTTTCTATCAAAAAAGTATCAAATTTCTGAATTTCTCAAGTTTGGACGAGAAAAAAAAAAAACGTTTCAAGTGATTCACACGGAATAAATTTTGATGTTTGAAATTCGAACGAAATGAAATGTTTACCTGGGTGTATTGTCTTTACTCATGTTTACCTATAGGTGCCAACAACTCATGGCATATTGATGAGCTTCCAAGACGATTCTTGGAATTGGAGTGATTCAATTTTCGTGATTTAAACGTTTTGCGCTATTCATTTGTTGCCCATTGGGAGCATGCCGTATCTAACTGATTCACCGTCGATTCAAAAATCAGTATTTCATTAATTACTCATGCTATAAAAAAACAGGTTCCGCTATTTATAGCAATGCCATTTGCTCTCCATTGCATGCACTTTGTGGAAGAGTAGAAAATTAACAAATCACAAAGTGTGACATATCCAATGAGTTATGTACATTAATTTGTAATTTGCGTTTTGTTTGCGATTGAACCGACCAAAGTCCAGTAGTGGTAACTACTTTTACTGTAACTATGTTCGTTTCGATCAGTAGTCAAATCATCATTTCGTGATCGATCGCATCGACACATGTGATAAGCCTGAGTTGATATGGCTTGGCAAAATGTGGGGATTAATGTGATCAATATCTCCGTGCTTCTATGAAATCTCTATTCATCGTTAAGCCTACAGTCGCAAAGTTACAAGTGTGAAAAGACGCTCGCTCTGTGGCGGTAATCTGTTATTTTTTAAGTCGTTGTTGTCAACTTTTTCTTCCAAAGATACCGTTTCATACCGCATGCGTACCCCGTATATGATGGAACAAAAAAGTAAATAAAACACACAATGTGACTTCGTTTTAAGTGTTCGCGTTCCAGCAAACAGTGTTTCATCAACATTCTTATCAATCAAATAAAATATAATACTATCATAAAAAGGCGAGGCAGAGCTAGCTTGAAAGTGAGATCATGTGGATCATTTTATTCGTCTCCACTTTATTCACACACTTGATAATTGTTGTTGAGTATTTTCACTGGTGAACACCATCGTCGAACGTTGTTGAGTTTTATCGAAACAAACAGCCGCAAGATAAAGCGATCAAACTGAAATTTCATTTTATATCAACGTCCATAAAGTATATTTACGAAAGCACCTGAAAACGACGATAGAGACAAATAGTATTTGTGGACTGTAAAATCTGTTGAAATTGACACCATTTATTAAAGTCATAAGCAAGCGTACAATCAATTTTGTATTTGAACTCTTGATTTTGAAATTCCCTTTCATTGAGAATATTTTGATCGAGAGAAAAAAGACGACGACGACGTCGACGATGACAACAACACTAAAATCAAAATCAATGAATTCAGAAGTCGGTACATTGGGTGTGAGGAAGAGAGAAGAAAAATGTGTGTCCAATTAAATAATAAAATTACAATTTATTTGTTCCATGAATTTCACTCTCATGCTGAGACGAGTGTGTACGCGGGACGACAATGGAGCTGCGAATCATGTATTCTACGTACACACAAATGAAAGTCATATGACGCAATTTGACGATCGTTTCCTTGGCATAGGCAACAATTGAATTGCAAGAAGAGCATAAAAAAAATGGGAAAATTACTTACGTACATGCGTTTGTAGTAGCTGCAGACAGAGAATAGAGTGCATCGTGAAATGTATGTTCATTGCAAATATCTACTACACAATACAATCCGAAGAGGTATGAGCGAATGCGAGCGAAATGATCACGAAAGAGGCGCTTATTCGATTCTGAATAAATTCAAAGCAGAGAAAAATGCATATTTTCGTACCATGTAGGGGCAATGTAAATGACACGAATCTTCAGCACTTACAGTAGCGGCAGCGTTGTAATGATCATTTAAATTCATTGCATGGGCTTCTGAATGGAAATTCTCCGGACTGCATGTTTGTCTGAATGTTTCTAATAAAAGCTAGTTGTTCAAGTGAAATTACCGTCTCTCGTTCAACGAGAGTATCTGTTTCATTATCGCGCACGCACTCGCAGGCGATAATGAGTCAAGTGTGCTTTGTTTTGTTTTAAACTAGAGATTTGTTTTTTTTATCGCTTTCGATAAGAAGATTTTAACATTTCACGTCGAATTTCGATGTATTTCTACCGGAATACTTCGGCTCTCCCACTTAACATATGCTGCATTAACGTTGCTATCATAGAGGAAATTAGTGTTAGCACTGAAAATGAATAATAAGTCAACTATTTATGACTGACACAACAGTATGTGCACTTTCTGTTTGATTATCGTTATTTTCGGCCGTTGTTTACCAACCGAACACAAAAAGGAGGCATATGCGTACCGAATACTTTGTGCAACAAAACAACAACAACGACGATGCGCTACAGAGTTAGACATCCATATGAAATTCGTTAGAAGTGTATGCATTTCATTAGGTACAAACAAAATGCAGGCGAAGCATTTCTGTGAGCGGCGTCTCTTTTCGGAAATTTGACAACGATGCGCCAAACTGAAGAAGAAAAAAAAACGTAAACATATGAACATGAGAGTATACATTTATATATCTGTCGGTCTCACTCTTCCCTTCCTCTCTCCCTCTTTCTATGTCTCGGTTGGCATTTGTGCGGTGTTATGCCCTATGCACACAATGTTTGCCTTTGAATACATGCACACGATATATCCAAACAAGAAGATAGAACGAAGCAACAAAGAATAAGATATGAAAAGGGAAGTCGAGAGTTAAATGAAAATTCAAAACATGTTCATTGGCGTTTTGAGTTCGCTCGACTTTCGATGCATCGTTCCAGTGTCGCGTCGTTTATGAAAGAATTATGCTTTCTGCCCATGAATTCCATTGATCAAGCAGTGAAGAATGGGAATGAGAGCAAGAGAGAGCGAGCTAGGGAGAGTTAAAGAGATCGAGAGAGGGAGAGAGAGAAAGAAAGAAAAAATAACAAATCTGGTAGACTCGACACAGTATCTGTTGATCGGCATCAAGTCTGGAAAATCATATGAAAAAAGGTCAAAAAATGCTTTCACTTTAATTAAGTTCCAATAATTTTTTATTCGATTGAAATCAAACACTCAACACATTTGAATGGGAATAATGAGCCACAATCTAGCTACCTTTAAATTTTAAAGGTAGAACGAACGAAGGAGAGAACCAAACGATTTTCTACTTTTTTCCATTTTCTATCCTTACTAAATGCCCTGAAACTTGTTTGTATTATTTCGGCTGGTGTTGTGCACCAACACATGCGTTCATTCGTTCCATTGTGATCGAGAGTAAAATAAATTGCATTTTTGGTGCAACAAAAGGGACATAATAACAATTTTGAGAGGCTCAAATGTAAAAAAGCTGGGAAAGAATTTTTTTCGCATCGAAGCTACTTTTCTCACATGATTTGCTCGTTACTTCTCATAGCAAGAGTCTTTTGTTCGAACGGATGTGCAACCGAGACGGAGAGAGAGAAAGACAGAAAAAGACACAAGGATTTATTACTTTTTTTTCTCTTTCGCTTTAATCATGATTTAAAAAAAAAAATTGTAAAATCTACTTAGTCTTTTCATCTACGTTTCAAGCTCAAATACACAAAACATGAACACATAATTTTGTTTGTTTTTTTATCATTGTTTCTCTCGTCTTGTGATTCTGTGATAGCATTTCTATCATGGTTTTGACATTTTATCTTCATCATTTTTATCATCAACTGAACTCAATTCACAGCTTATCTCACGTTCTACAAATTAATTGACATTCTCGATAACGAAGAAATCCAACTCTCGGTTCGACAATTCCAGACAAGTGAAAAGTGTTCCTCTATCAATAGTAACAGCGCATATAAAATCCCATATTGTTCTCTATAAAAAAAACTTCTAGTCTTTCTTTTATTTATGTATATATTGAAATTGTATAATAATAGGACATAATTTGTAAATATTGCTCAATTCCTTATTATTTGTTTTCCATTTTGTCTGGTTCAATTTATGCTTTTCTTCTCTTCATCTTGTGCTTAAGTTCTTCAACATCGTGTTCGCATCTAAGAAAATATCGAGTTTTTTTATGGCTTTTAAATTCGCAATTGTTCCATTCTTCTTCAATATGAATAATGCACATTTTTCAGGAACAGTTAACGCCCGCTCTCCTTATCTCATCAACATGTGATGAATTCATCCAAAGTTTTCGTTTACTCAAAAAAAATTGTCCAATGTTTATAACCTAGATTCGGTTTTTAATGCCAAAAACAATGTAAAAATTCGCAAATTTGGGAACGAGAAAAAAAAATTGTCAAAAATTTCGGTGCTTTTTTTCTTTTTCAAATCATTTTTCCATTTTTATTTAACATTTTTCTTTATATCATCAGTTTTGAGGAAAAAATTTCTCTCGTTTTTTTGTTATCATTTTTCTTCTAAAATAAATTAAATGTAGCCATTCTCGCAGCTACACATTTTGTTTTTACTCGTATTCATTATTATTTTAATATCTATCTCATTTCACGATTTAAAATACACATCCAAAATTAAATCATTAATAAGTAGGTAATAGATTTTCCGAAAAACTACCGTAAAATATTCTTCAAAAAATTGATTGTAAAGTTCACTGTCACTCACACTGAATATTTTTCTCTTCCTTTTTCTTTTCATTTGATTTGCTTGTTTTTTGTTTCTTCTTCGTACGAGAGGCTTAATTTAAGGGTTGTTTTATTTTTTTAAAAAAATATGTATATCCATAAATTATAATCTAAATTGTATGAAATCATCAAGATTTTGTATCAATTGCAAGTCATTGCATTTTGTAGAATTTTATTTGTGTGTTTGTGGTTGTTGTTGTTGTCGCGTTTAACAATGGAATGATTTCGTCTTTTGTTGGTTCCTTACGTAAACAAAGTGTATTCATTTCTCTCTTTTTTTGTTAATTTCCTTCAAAATTTCTTACATTGGATCCGATTTGTTCCGCAAAAAGTACGATTAAACTTTATGGCGGCGAGTTTAAAATTTGCAAGAAGAAAAGTAGTAGTTGAAATGATTTGTTTTTGTGAATTAAAAGATAAAAAAAGGAAAATCCTAATGAATTGGAAAAGGTGTTAAATGCTTAAAAAAAGGATAATCCATTGCAAATTAAAAGTTGATTCCTTTTTCGATGGGCAGCCGGCAGTTTTTTTTATGTTGAACTCATATTTCTACATAAATTCATTTACTAACATCTAATTTTCTTATTGTGTCGAACGTTGTTGAAACGTTCGTAATGAGAGAAAAAAATTGAAAAAAAACCGTCAAAATAATTCAAATGAATTAAAAATTTGTAGAAATCTCTTTTGCTATTGTTTTTTCTTGTTCTATGTATCGGATTTTATCATCATTTGTTTTTGTGCTTTGAAAAAAGGAGAATAGATTGCTTGTATGCTATATGCGTTTTAAGTGATGGAAATATTGATAATGCAAATGCGTTAGTTTAGTCTCGATGGTTTTTTGTTGTTTATGGTCACGATTGAAATGTGAGTTGTTGTTGTTGTTGTTGCTGTGTACACACGTTGCGAGTATACATTGGTCCGAGAAAACTAGGAACAGCATCGATTGTCAATTGATCATTTGTGTGTTGGGCGGTGTGGCGTGGCGTGCGTGATGATGATGGAATTGATCAGACGTCATGTTTGCCATTCAATTTCATAGCTAACTCTGTGATGATTTCCTTGAAAATTAATGGATCAATATTTTTACCTAATTGATAGAGTATGAACCAATCTCCGATTTGGCACTTGTTCGATATATGTTCAATGTCCTGGTGTGATGAGAGTCGTGTTCGGGCGCGCAACAAATACAATCGCACTTTTGGTGCAAATACGACCAATGCACGATACACCAATGAGAAACCGCTCAAAATGCTCAAAATGATGAACCAGAACCACAGGAACACATAGATTTTCTCATTGACAATGTTCAGCGGTAGCACGCACAAACCATCGAATTTCTGCACACTGCCCGATGGACCGTATTTGTGGAATGTGCATTTGGTGACTTTTGGAAAGACACGTGACATTGGATCGCCACGCATCTCCGGTTCGAGTTCGGTGAATCGTAGCACATCGCTGCCGTAGGTGGAGAATTCACCGTCCAAAAAGTAGTCCATAAAGTAGATTTGTCCGATGACATTGACGAAATTGAGCGCTTCACAGATGAAAAACCGGAATGCGTAGAAATTGTGTCGCCGTAGATTCTCTTGGAAGTAGCTAATGAGAATCTTTTTGCGATCCTCTTTGCACTCTTCGTTCACGATTGGCATGTTCAAGTCGAGCACAAGCATCTTAATGCGGCCACCTTCCCATGTCTTCCACAAGTATCGTGGCACGTAGAACAGCATGGCTTGGAAGAATAGCGCAAAGCACACCCACTGATAGTATTTATGGTATTTAACTTCGTCGCTGCCCTCCACATGGCTCACAACACCCGGCTGAACCATGTCACGACCAGCCACTCCAATCATTCGATTCGGTATTGTGAACGTACTGTAAATCCAACAGTACGTATCCATGACGCCCAGTGGAATTTCATCGACGATGCAATCGATTGGGTCTCCGATGTACTGACGCGACGTCACCAGCAACGAAAAGGCTATCAACACGATAACTGTTGCTTTGTAGTGCAATCGGAATATGTTGTTGTCAATGCAGACCTGGTCGAGCTTCAAAAGCCCCTTAACAGAGCCAAACACATCAAACATGTTGTCTAAATAGATGAGAAAGGTGAAGAAAGAGAGAGAGAAAAAACAAAGACTTTTCTTTAGAATTCAGTGCTCGTATACGCACACACATACACATAAACATACACAATCCAAACACTAAACTTCCTTTGTAAACTGTGATTTCGATCGAACCGATTTATCAAAATCTCTTCTCAGGTCGAACAAAAAAAGTTATTTTACAATTTTTTTTACAAATAAAAAAATTCACAACAACAAAATTGAACTGAATCCATTTCTTTGTCGAATTTCAAACGGATGATGAATGCACATTTTTGCCGACAAACTTTTTTTGTTTTTGGATTCGCCTTTCAATTTCGATGGTTTCGGTATCGATGGAATACAGCACATAAGAAGCAAGTTGAATGCAGAAATAAAACATATAAACAAGTAACTTTACACTTACGACACTTATTTTATTCACACGAACCAATCAATTTGGTGCACAGATGCAATTAATAATCGAAAACCACTGTGTCAATTGGTAGAAAAAATACGCTCGTACTATTTTGCGTTTGTTTTCTTTCTGTTCGTTTCTGATACACTTTTGACTCTTTGTTTTCCAGTCGAAAAAAAAAGGCTGTAAGCAATTCTTTGATTTTTTTTTTGTCGTAATATTTGTTAACTCGTGTTAAACGCACACCGTACTATAATGGAAATGCTGCGTCGTTGTGCTGTCTCCGTCGCTGTGCGTAGCGGTTGTCGTTCGTTTTACCTATGTGCTATTGCTTTAGGTAGCGTTATTGTTGTTGTTGCTGCTGCTGTTGCTGCTGTTGCGTTCAAGAATTCGTTTGGCTTTAATGTAGAACACATTGAATTTGTTTGACTTTCAAATGGAAAATTGCAATTTTGCCACTTTTTTTATCGGCCAAAACAAATTTGTCCTTTCAATTATATTCTTTTGTTATAAACAAAGTAGAAAAAATAAACACAGCGCTTAAGAATATTCAACCCAATGGATTGCAAAATGGGCGAACATTGAGAATGCCACTCTTTGAACTGTGTTCACTCTCCAGTTCGGAACGACCAAAATCCGATGTGATCGCTTTGAATAACGAATTGAAACTGGACGATCATCGTGCAACGAACCGTTCGAAAAAGAGGTGGGGAGGGAGAAAACGAAAATGAATAGCGCGCGTAACACGGTTTGTACACGTTCATTCGTTTTGTTTGCTGCTTTGCTGCTGTATTGCCCGCGCCATTCACTTCACCAACACTCAAGCACATGCACACACATTCGCCACAGCTGGGCTGCCGTATTCGACCTGGCATGATCGAATGCATATGTATTGGGGCTTGGGATTTTACAGTTGTGTTGCGATACTATTGCGATGGTAATGTGTGTGTATGTGTGTGTGTGTGGCAAACATTTTTTCTGCGTTTGTATGTGTGTTGGTGCTGCCGATGCAGCTGAACTGGTTCCGTTGTGTGAGTGTGCGAGAGGCAATTAAATCTACTGTATTCAATCGAGTTCACAATTGTTTGGAGCACATAGCTCAGGACACTAGCATTTATGTGCTTCTTGTATTGTTTCAATACACACTTTGTTGTTTCACTTTGAGAAGATTTATTGGGAAGTCGATAACTTGGGAAATTCTGTTCTTGTCGATATTCATTCTCATTCGTATTTTATTTCTTCAATTCTCAACAATTCAAATCTTTTGTACAACCATTTTGCACGTCAACGATCATAAATTTGTTGGCCATTTGGCACTGAAACTCCTATTGTTTTGCGCTGCCTAAAAAGTTTCAATTTTTTGTTTCAAATTTTGCAGAGCGATGCATTTTCGATGATATGTATTCGATTTCATAAGATATAAAAAATATGCACCATTTTTTTCGAATCAATTGGTTTGAATTTCATACACCATGACACGAAAATTGTTGCTGCACAAATCCCAGTCGGTTTTGGGCCATTTTTTTTCTTTTACTTTTGCTGATTTGCCGTTTGTTTTTGTGGTGCACACAAGTTATGATGAAATCGCAGCACATTGTATATGTACCGTTTTAGGCGATACCACACAGCTCGAAACATACGCTCGAAACGATTTCTTGCGAACGAACATGCAAGAGAGAGAAGCGAAGAAAAAACCTGCAGAAAACTGGGAATACAAGCTTTTCTGTGATTTTTGCCCATATACACTTCTGCGGTTCATCATATAATTAATAAATTTCTATTCTGTAATTTTCTCGAAATTCTTCCACTCAAAAACTGGTTTGAATGCGGCTATTTTTGGTGTATCGATTTCAAAGTTTGCACACAAACCGGCATGTATACTTTTTTTTTTTTAAATTGGACATATTGCCTTTAGCATGTCCAGAAATTACATTGCGAATGAAGGGAATGACGCATTTGTGTTGTTGGACAAAGTAATTCGTAGACATTTTGGTGAACTATACAAAAAGAGAACAAGCAGCGTACGTAAAAATACGTATTGTGAGCAATTGAATGGAAACGCGCTTGTGCATCAAACAAATGAAAAGGAGACATATTCACCATAGAAATTACGTTACTCAAACCATGTAGGCCCAATGCACACACAATTTTCGATGCGAGAGAGTGCACGAAATCATAGAAAAACCCCACACACACATACATACGCATACACAACTAACACGCACAAACCAAAATTGAATTACAAACACAGACATTCCACACAGAAAAAAGGCCTTTCAGCCTACCCGACCGAAAATATCAAATGCACAGCGGCACACATTGTGACAAGTATGATGCCTAACGATGAGTTGATGTTTTCATTAGATATTGCCTCGACTCGACTCGACTGTGGTGCCTTGATGAATAGCGACCAAAATGCATAACACATTGTGCCTGCATGGAATTGAGCGAACCTTTTGTTCAATGTCAAAGGGAGAATGCATACAAACATCTGTCAAAATCAAACGCACGTCTGCTAAAATCCCGGTCGATATTTTTCGTCCTCTCTTCACACAGACCTACAGCGATTCTGATGCAATACCATCAACTAATTCGAAAATAGTTTCCGAAAAGTGTCGTATATGGACTATGCCGTTTGTAAATGTTGTTTGATCAAATCTTTGCACCTCATTTTTCCTGAACATTCGCAAAATCTCTTTATTTACACCATTTTCATACTAGACTTCAATGCTGTTGCAAATTGCGAAATAAATAAATGCATAAAAACCCGTGAATGGCCATTTTATAACTCTATTTAAATTTGCCGTCTGTTTTCTCAATTTTTCTCATTTTCTGCTCAAGTAATTGGTTGTTCTTCGTGGAAAAATTATTCCTGTTTGCTTTTTCTCTCGGTTTTTCTGGAGCAGAAAACATTAACTGCTCGATAGCATCGGCTGTCTGAAACCATATTTAACAAAGAAAAAACTACACTTTCCGACATAATTTTTATGCGCATGCACAAAGTCCGTTATATTAAATGAGAAGAAAATTTCGCTTATCGACTGCAAAGAATGCGTTACTTTTGCGCGTGTTAATGCATATTCGACCATTAAATCGTGAACAAACAAGAACAAATGGTATTGTCGGCTCCATTTGATCGAATACAACTAACAAAACAATATCAACACCGCCTGAAAAAGAATCGACAATATATCGAACTCAGTGCGACGAAATAACGAAAGCAGAAATGAATAAATAAACGCGCCGAAAATAGCACTAAACGAAATGGAATATTTTAATTCCGAAATCCACTCAGAAATGCGTCCTGCCTTTCAAAATTGATATTAAAATATTCAGTTGTTGTAGGTCTGTGCCGAAATGGAAACAGTTGTGAACCAAGTTCAAGAGCGACGCAACACACGCTTTACTCAATTTGCATTTTTTTTGAGAGAAACAAAAATATATTTGGCCCATTTGCCAACCAAGTAGCACTAATTGTGAAGCAGAAAGATGATAAAAAAACAAATAACATTCAGAGATGAAGTTAGATTTCAGTTTTCATGAAAATCACTATATTTTCCTCCATGTAATTTACCTTAAAGAAAGACTTTTCATCTACAAAATGGCCTGAACCATGAAATTGCTAATGGAAATGATGATGAATAGTTATCTTAAGACATCGTCACCATTTTTTATACTCATGCGTTCAATCCATTGTTCATGTATTGAGAATTTCATAATCGAAATCATTTTGGAGGAAGAAGTAATTTCTCACGAACATGATCTTGCATCATAAAATCGCTGGCGTGAAAAAAAGTACAATTTATTCTTTCACGCAATCCAGATTTCAAATAATAACTTTTGAATCCATAATAATGACACGTTTTTCGAATAAAATAAACAAACCACATTTTTTTGAAATAGCTGTGTTACATTCATAGTGTACTTGTGGTGAGTGATATTGCTTTTATCGAGTGCATTTTGTACACCATAATTCCATAGTTCATGTGCCATGTGCAACAAATTGCTTTGATATTTGTTTCATTTTGACATATTTGAAGCGGAAAATGTATTCTTATTTCGAGCATTCCGAAGAAGAATGCGGCTTTTCAACCAACGTTCCGCTTGTTTGGGAACATTTTTCCCTCGGTTCGTATTTAAAATTCAATTGAATATCACTTTGATGACATTCTCCACGTAGTTCAGCACCAACTCATTCTTTGAGAATAGCGAACAGTCGATAGGCTGCGTTGAGAATCTGGAAATTATTCCAAAATGGTGATAATTTTTAATTTCAATCAGAATTAGATTCCGTGATCCGTTCGTATCGAACATTGCTGGCCAATTGGACCCATAGAATTTCAAAAGGAGTAATTCGCTTTCTGACATCACATGCTGTCCAAAGTAACACATCAGGAATATTTACAAGAGGAATGTCATCATTGAGATAAAGTTGGACATAAATAGAACGGTATCTTTCAATAGAGAAGCCTATTTTATAAAAAAAATCATAACAAAGTTTTCGAAAATGGTTAGAAAATGGTTGGCAAAGAATATTATACCTTAGCCAATCCAGTCGTACAGGAACAAACCACTTAGGATAAGTTGGGCAAAATAGGTGAGCGCTAAATTCTTCTTCATATTAACCCTTTATCACATTTCGGTTCCTAAAGTAACCAGATACGCCAGACGCTATAGCTATGAAACCACTGAATATTTTTGCATTCTTGTTTGGAAACAAATGTAGGGAATCGAACTAGCTTTCATTTGATACTTTACAGGCTACAATTGGCTGGCTGAATGGAAAGTTTTTTCTGTTCATGTACTGCTGTAAAAAAAATGCGAAATTATAGCAGAATTCCACATTTTTCCTCCTCTCATCTTGTGGGTTTGTTCATTCTTTTCAATTGTCAAATTAGGACTCGTAGGACCAAAACACATCAATTTAACTTTTTGCATCATTAGTTTTATGAAATTTAATTTTTCCAAGCTTTTATATTGATTTGACACTTTTGACTCTTTTCCGATTTTCTCGACAAACACGCAATTTTCCAAAAATCTAAGTATGAGGTTTTTCTCTATTTATCGTGGCACAAAACATATATCAAAATGATTCAAAAACAAAAAATTGTGCATCAAAGGGTTAAGAATAATTTCGGTGATCTCATGATAAATATGTTTCAATAATTCCAATTTAATCGATCCAATTTGCGGACTACTTTGGATGGCTTTCAAACGATTGCCGAGAATTTCGAATTCCGCGCTGATTAAATACATCGAAAAGCAAAAAAACGAGTCGATAGACACATTTAAATTGCCAGTTTTTGTGATGCCCACGTATTGATAAATGGAAATGATCCAATAATCTCGCTAATTGTGTTCCCAATCGAACCCTGGATACAATCCACTGAATGCCAAACTATTTGTTTCCAGAAAGTGTGCTTACGTTCCACAGGGTAATCGACAGTAGGTAATAGAGGAATAAAATTATTCCAAAAACCTTTATACGCTTTTGAATCGATTCGTTTACGTCGGCTGACAAAATGGCGAATTCTTTGTGCATTTTTTGAATTTTCTGAATGCTTTTATTGTTGAAGAAATGATTCAAAACCTTCATGGTGAAGGCGACTTTTGTCGATGACGTGAACAAAAGATTGGTTAAGTCGGCGAAATCTGTGAGAAAATACAAATTGGCAACCATGAAAAAGGTGTACAAAGACACAATTGGATAAATTGCGATTTTTGATACGGATGCCATAGACCGAACCACGAGAAAAGAAAAATGAAAACCTTGAAGATTTGGTCTGGATTCGATTCTTTGATGTAAACCATGGTTGACTCTTTCAATTGTAATCACTTGGAATTCACACGTTGCCAAACACTGTTGATGAGGCTTTGAGGCGAAAGAGGCTAGAGTGGTCGTATTTATAAGAAGTATCTTGCATTCCATTAGATTATAGCCCAAGCAAAAGGAAGTTAAACCATCAAATTAAGTGTTTCTTGTGTAATTTTCTCGGAACAACCCTTACAATTTATTCTGAACGAAGAGTGGCGATTTTATAGGCCATCGTGACCTTTCAAGGTAGCAATTATCCAAGTGTGGCATTAACAATTGATAAATTAATTCATGGTTTCCAATCACATCGAGCGCAGACATTACGTCCTATGAAATATTGACGAAATCAATGGACCTGCGTCAATCTTACAACAAATGTGTGAAACATCAATTAAAGCCTTAAACGCACGCACTGAAAGGAAGCATTGATTTGGAATCATCGATTTCCGCGAATTAGTCCTGTGTTATTAAGTTACTTCAAGCTTCGAAACGGGAAAATCGTTTATTTAGGATCTTTTCTAGCAAATAAAACTAACGGCAATGAAGTAAATTGACGTTTTATTTCGTGTAATTAAATGTTATTAGCTAAGGTTGGTTAGCCGTGTTTACAAAGCTTTTCATTTTCGGATCAAGACCGTTTTTAAGTAAGAAATATCTCGTTAACACCCGACAAAATGGTTTAAATCCCAGTGAATGCTACAAATTGTTGGTTTCATCAATGCCTCAAATGTTACGCTCATGATTTATATCGAACGGCATTTCAACGTTGAAAATGAGCTGACATTCTGGAAAAAAGCGTGGAATTATCGGTATCTTATCAAAAAATCATTTGTCAACCGTTAATTTGAGGGTTTGCTGTCAATTCAAAAAACACTTCGGTATTTTATCACATCGTAACAAAATTGAAGAAAAATAAATGAAATGACAGTAACCTTCAACTAAGAACCAATTTTTTTTTCAAATGACAAAAGGCTTAAACTCAATTCAAGACATTTGAATTCATTGACACAAATATGAAATTGGTGTTTGTGTATTCGATACATTACTGTTTCTTTTCCGGGTTCTGTTAAGTGTTTGGTTTAATGTTTTGAGAATATATGTGAAAAGTGTGTTCAATTTCAATTTAATTCGTATTATTGTTTGTGCGATTCACTTACCCACACACTCACACACAGCAGCATATCTCCATCAATTTACGGGCATCGTAAAGTACGGCGATTTTTCAAAGATTTTAGCCGCTGATAAATCATACATTTCTTTGTTTGTATGATGCAATTGAATCGACGATACGTGGTTGTGTGTGATCGGCATAGAAAAAACGAATTTCATGTGATTCGAAGTAACGATCATAAATATAAGCCATGAAATGGATGGAGGAATGAATGAATGTGAACGTTATTCAAGCAGAACTATTCGATGCATGAGAATTGCTGTTTGACGTAGGTGGTAAACTATCGGTTGTATTGTCGGCCTGTGCGACAATCAAATGATCTCTATTTTTAATGTGTGGGAATCAGAAATGATTTGGCATGAAAATGAGCATGGAAAAATGAGCACATTTTCTTCATGGAATGGCAATTTTCTTAGAAAATAATCATAATTTTCAACTTTCAACAGAGATTAGAGAATCGCTGATATTTGCGCTCAAGCAAATCATTTTCCACCACACACACACACACACACACACATACACAAAAGCTATTTACTTCCAAAATTCATGTGATACTTACCCGAATGTCACGCAAACAATCATTTAGAGCTTGGCACATTCGTGTAATAAATGTCGAGTGTTGTTTTGCCGAATAAATTGGCCGAAAGTGCCAATTGAGTTCATTCGATAAATGAGACACATGTGAGCATCAAACACGTGAGAAACACTACGTCTCTCGATTAAATCATCCATATGCGAATTTTGAGTCATTCATAACCGAACCATTAATTCGAATGCTTGAACATTGTTTAGAATATGCCATAGGCTACTCTAGTAATAAGACAGTATAACTAATGAAAAATGATTTCCACTCGTGCATAAAAACGAAGAGAAAAAAACAATTCATTGTAAATTCTTTGAAGCGATTTTTCGCGAGCGTACACCCGATTCCACCTGGCTTTGTGTCGTTTTGTAATGAGACACGGGGCAAAAAAAAACTCTCGCGCATACACACTGGCGGCTATGTGATTTGTTGAACGTTTTTTTTCTTCTTGTCGTTCGATTTGTCTCATTTGTTAAAATCTGTTGTGTGCATAAGCGACAAGTGACAACTTTCAATTACCTTGGTAACAAAACATGCATAATTGCCGTACACATTTGCACGTTGGGCCGTTTCAATATAAACATTTTGGTTTCTTATGAAATTTTATCAACGATTTCGCCGTGCGAAGTTCATAATTCATTTTGGTTGATTTGTACGCTTCAAAAGTACTGAAGTTTGGGCTCGTGTAAAGTTTTTTTTCTTTCTTCACCGAAACCGCACACTAAACACAAGTAATAAAATTGTCCGACAATGAATTGGCTTCGGAGCTGCACGATGAAAAATGAAACGAGCCGAGTAAATTGAAAGAAGAGAGGCGAGACTCGGAGAGAGAGAGAGAGAGAGAGAGAGAGAGAGATAAAACACAATGTGTATACTTGTTAGCCAGCGGCCGAACACACTCCCTCTTACATGACTTCAGTCAAATGTTATTTTAATTTTTTGTCGTTCACATTCAAACCGCTTAATTGGCAATTTAGGTTAACACGATAGAACAAAATACTAAAGCACACACGCACTCATATGCGCCAACTGAAACATTACTTGTATGGACTTTGACGCACGAGACGCTCTTTCGCGTCTGTCTCTCGCTCACTCAAAAGATTGCATATCAAGTGTCTTTTGGTCGTTCACAGAGCGTAATTGACGCACGCATAAACTATAAATTAGATTTCCTTGGAATCAATTTTGACCATTCTAGCTCTCGGACTTTATTTACATTTTGCATGTTGATCGATTTAACTAAACGACTAAATACTTTTTAATTACTATCGCATCGATTTTCCGACTCTGACCTGCTCAAACCAACGCAAACAGATAGCTGCTCTAGTTACTTTTTGTTCTAATTTTTAAAAAATGTTGCTACTAGTATCAGTTTATAAGTCGAATGATCGATCATTTGTTCATTTGAACAAGTCAACAAGTCGGTGGAATTCGCTCAATTTGTCAGTTACACGAAAGGAGTGCTCGCTACTCGCATTTACAATCTGACGCATTATAATGAATCACTGCTTTTTTCGTTTCAATTTGAATGACAGATTTATTCAACATTCACGATTATTTTAGCATCTCATGCAAAATTTCTCATTTGTTGATGATAACCGGCATACCTTTTGCACAGCGTTATCACGCCAATGTATTAAAAAGTCCCATTGGATTTACATTAGTTGTTTGACTCGTTCTAAAAAAAAGCGAACCAACAATAGAAGCATTGACTGGAGAGATGACAAAGTGTCAAATGGGAAAATAAAACAATGCAATTTGAACGTTATCAATGTGAATAATAATGCGTATAAAAATCAAAGAGGTCTGTGTGTTTTTGACACATATGACGAATTTGCAAATGAAATCCTGCGTATCATATGATTCCAATAAAAAAAAATCTTCAGCAAAAATCTTTCGTGCAAACAATAACATTGATTCAAACCATTCTTCCAGCACGAGTTCATTTGCTTACTCGACCGATGCCATTCATTCAATACTGTCCCAATGCAAATTAGACAAACAAAATGGCCAATCAGCCGGAAAGTTGGCTGCAAATAAACAAACAACGCGCAAATTCCACAACCAAAGTGAATACGTGATTTAAAGTATCAATGAAAATGTTTGATGAAGCATGAAAAATAGGTTAGATATCAAGTCCGACAAACTGGCTGGACATATGCCAAAAAACACTTGATGTCACTGTTGACTTTGTGATTATAACTAATTATACGGTGATAAATACAAATTCTGATAGTGAATTTGATAAAAATAAATGTCGAACATGAAAGCACGTTAATCTGTCGATGATTGACAAGTACTAATGCGCGCGAGCGATCAAACCTTCATGAAGCGTCGCATAGTGTGCCCATATATACAGACGGTGTATAAAAAGAACTGGGCAGGAGAAAATGAGTGATCGCCACCAAAGCGATAGCGTTGATTAAATTCAATCGAACAAATAAACACATACAGCTTATGAAGGCGATATTAATAAAACAGACAGAATAAACACAAAAACAGTAAAAAAAAACCGCGCAAACAACAAAATAATCACCGAAAAAAACGGTACGTTCGCTCATTCCCTTATCTATTAATATTTCTCAATAATTACTGTGGCACTTTTTTTCTCAACTGTGTGCGGCGGCTCGGTGTTGTGTGTGATTCAGGTAAAACGTTCTTTTTTCGCCTTCAATTAGTAGTAGATGATAAACCGTGTTTGAATCATTAAATTCATATTTTTCATGTGCGATTCGCTTTCGTTGCGGTAATTTGATGATGTGCTTTGTGTTTTTTTTGTTGAAAAATTAAAGAAAAAAATACACATCGTAATCGTTTCCATTAAGCGCACGGGAAAATTAAACAAAGCATTCTAAACACTCCCAACCAAACCGTTAGTAGAGTGTTGTTCTTGTACCGAAAAAGACACATTCGTTGCACGGTTGGCAGCGGCCCTTTATTTATTTTTTCACGTTTAATAGCCACGGGCTAGCAAAACGAAGTGAAATCGATAATAGTTTAGTGACACGTGCAATTTTTGTCATTGTGATTTTGCAACAATGTTGAAGACATTCACAGCACTAACGCCGTTCATTAAATTCCGAACGAAAAAAATTACAATCGATAATTTTGCGTTCAAATTTCATTATCGGGCCACATATCTATTGTTACTCGTGTGTGTTTTGCTCGTTACGTCCAGGTAAAGAATTATGGTGAATTTAAAATTGGCCACGTTAGGTACATATTAAAATGGGCCATAATAATCAAATCTCGCACCACACCAAGTTTCATAAAATTTCACTTTTTATCATTAGTTGCATTGGTTGGTGACATTTTATGTAGCTTCATTTAAGTATACCCACATCGACTTTGACCTGATAGTACAAACATGCGCGTGTGTCGAACGCTGAAAATATAAAAATATGTGTAATGATTTATTTTCATTTTACAGGCAATATATTGGTGACCATATAAAGTGTATTACAGACGGTTCGATACCGGCAGATGTGATAAATTCGTTCTGTTTCTTTACGCCAACATTTACTGTGGTAAGCATTTTGTTCGGCGGATGTTTTCGTTTTTATCTGATCTGTTGTTGACAATCATAACAAAACCAAATTGCGTTTGTTTACAAATTCGTGTGCTCATCATTTTAGGTGCGTCACTACAACGAAAGTTTGCTGGCGGGCGGTTGGTTACCTCATCCAGGCGTTGGAGATATAGCTCCCGGTGATAAAGTCAAACATCATGCATACTATCAATGGGTTCCATTCGTACTCTTCGGACAAGCACTTTTCTTCTTCCTGCCTCACTTTATCTGGAAAATGTTGGAGGGTAACATACATTTTCACTTTCGTCAAGTTTACATTTTTACAAAAGCCTACATTTCATTTTGGCAAAATGAATGTATACTTAATTCACTTTCTGGCGAATTTCACACGAATTTTTTACGAACGCAAATTCAATCACTTGGCTTTTTGTTTACGCAGACGAAAAAGTTGATGCAAAAAGTGTTTTGGTTTTTTTCGTTCAAAAACGCAATGCGATCATAAAACCACACTGTTTAAATGGCGCTTTGTGTACACACTTCTCTCCGATGATCGTTCAATCGGATACAAGCCGAACTGCAAAAACTCACAGCGAGAATAAAAAAATAAACACAATATTTCACATTCATGCTCATCATGCGTTAAATGCGATTCATTTCACTTTTAACGTTTACCTTTTGAACAATTTCCATTATGATTTATTTACGGTAAATTAACACGAAATGAAGCGGCTAAATTTACGAGATAGAGACATACACTTGCCATCAATTTGGGTTGAAATCCGTGTTAAATGTCCAATAAATCGTTGCAAGAGAGAAACAGAGGAGATTCATTAGCAAAAACGTAAATAAACAATGGGCATTGAGTGTACACAAAGAAGATCTTTCAACAGGTGATTGATTCCGCAGAGACTCGCGTTGTGCCAAATAGGCATATCAAAAATGTTTCTCAGAATAAAACCAGAAATATATCGATGAAGACGTCATTAGCTTACAGTTACCTGATTTTTTAATGAATGTACAAAAATAGCATTTTTCATTGGACTCCATCGAAACGCTAGTCATTAACATTTCTTGTCAGACTCATGAATTGAATTCCAGTTGCAAATTTGCAAATGCTCATCACCGTGCGGTTGCGTGATAAGCGAAAATTCAATTGAAAATGGTAATTGTTGTTTATTTTCCGTGATGCTGACAGGTGGGCGAATCGCAGCGCTGGTCGAAGGTCTACAGATGATTGCACTCAGCAAACACAATCAGAAAAAATGTGAAATGCGCTTTAGCGGAAACTATGTGCTGCCAAGCAATGATATGATCAAAGGAAGAATCCATCAAATCAAAGACGACTTCTACAAGCACATAAAAATCAACAAAAAATTTGCAAGATCGTTGATACTGTGCGAAGTATTGAATCTTGTCAATTTGCTGGTGCAAATTTATGTAACGAATGTCTTTCTGGCCGGCCAATTTTATTCGCTCGGTTTTAAATTCATTGAAGATGACTTCACCGGACCAATGGATAGCCTCGATACCGTTTTCCCGAAAGTAACCAAGTGTGATTTCTATAAGTACGGACATTCTGGATCGATTCAACGACACGATGCACTCTGCGTAATGGCATTGAACATCATTCACGAGAAAATCTATGTGATCCTTTGGTTTTGGTACTGGGTCATGCTTGGTGTTACGCTTACGAGCATCGTATGGAGATTCATGACGCTCATCTTGTTTTCGAGGTGAAGCTTCACGCAAATTCATTTTGATTTTTCATTGTTTGAAACAAATTCAAATTCATGGTCCAAAATTTTTAATTTCATGAAAAAATCAATTTCTTTCCATTTCTCCAGCTCCATGTGGTTCAATCGCGCTTGTTTCGGATCAACTTGCCCAGGCCGCTTGAACACGAAGCATCTGTCAACAGTTGTACGCCACATTTCTTTTTCCGACTGGATTTTCCTGTATTATTTAGCCAAAAATATGGAACCATACGTATTTTGTGATTTATTGACCGATTTGGCGGCAGAATTCCGACGACCGTACATTGAAGAACAGGAAGCACTTCAGGGTGACGAACGTGAAACATTGAGAATGGATGATCTTGGCGAAAAAAGTACCAACGAAAAAGAAAGCATAGACGAAGTAGACTTAAGACGTAAACCGAGAAATGACGGAAAATCCATGTAAAACCAAAAACATATAAAAAAGTAGCAAAGCATTTCAATGCTTTGCATTCAATCAATTCAAATCATGTTGTCTTGTGATTCCGTTTTTTTGTCTGATCGAAAATTTAGAATCATTCACAATGGTTGTGCTCGCGGATAAATCCAAATTGGTGGACGCTCACGATCGGCAGCGAAAGGAGAATGTTCTGTGAGTGGAATATTGAATGTTGCGATGAGCGAAGTTCGAAAGTTATGAAGCAAACCTGTTTTCACCTAACACACATTACTCTTCTTAGGCGATTGTTGTAGTGCTGCTCGCGCACTCACTCACTCACTCGCTCGCCCGCTCGCTCGTTGTTGGTGGTTAACACTCTCTTTGAGTACATAAAGAAAATGCATTGATCTTTATGTGTTTGTATCCCGCATAAATTCTGCCATGAAATGCAACATTACCGTGCAGAAATCGATTTAGTCGTGTATCAATATATGTATAGGAGGTCACATGCGTTCGATGACCTCAGGCGACGCCATTATTTTTCAAATCAAATCGATCGCTATTTTTTATTTTCTTTTCGTTTTTCGGAATGGTCCTTAGCCAGCACGGCTTTCAAGGTTTTAGTGTTTGTTGCTGATCGCTGAATTGGTTCTAACATTAGGTAATTTACTCGAATGATTAGGTATCAGTAAAAGTGAATAAAGCAAAATGGCCCATTGTCACTGGGCTGTAAAATGTCTGATTGCTTTTAAACCACAGTAAAATGTCATCAGAAGCCATACGGCTGACACAACCATCGATAAGTAGTGCCAGAGATTGGTATCGTGTACGAAGAATACACAGAATAATCGCTGATTGAATCAACAAAACCCACGTAGTTGTTTTTTTGTTTAAAAACGTTTTGTTTGCGTTTTGCATGAAATATTCCATGGATGGAATGTGCCGGTGCCGGTCGCACTTCAGATTCTCTTCAAACCAAGAAAAAAATCTTGATTCTTTTTCTTTCTCTTTCCCTAAGCTGTAGGTAGACACCTTTCGTATAATACATGCACGCATCAAGCATGCTCCTCAAATAGAAAAACAAAGAAAACGAAAATAGAAAACACAACAGACACATTGGATCGCACAATGAAACCACCAAATATTTGCTTTAATGATCGTAACGCTAACAAACTCTTTCGAATTTGACGACGCACACCTAGCTATACATCATTTTGGTTTTCTTCGATTTCAAATACATTCAGCGTTTCAATGGAAGAAAAGAGAGATGAGTGAAGGAAAAAACGCCTAGACATTCAGATAAAAGATTTTGGAGTGCTTGCGCGTTGTGTGCAAACATTGTGGTTGAGACTGGATGGAATACCACTGATGCGAGCACATGCAAACGAGCACACATTCTTCCATCCCAATCTAATGGTGAAAAAAAAACTTCAATACATAAACAAAAGCGAGCAAATGTTTTACATTTGTCAGTTTTTTTTCTGTTTTTCTTTTTTTTTGGATTCGTTAGAATGTTTGGGTTGAATGAAGAAGAAGAAACCGAATGAAATTTCAACAAATGGAGCGATGAGTGCATTTTTCGGCATTTCATTTCCTATTTCAGCACTTTTTCCTCAGGCGAAGCAATATTCGAAATTAAGTTTTAATCCCACGAAAATGAATTGTTCACACCTTTCTAAAAAAAGAAATACCCAAAAACATGGCAAAAAGACGAATTTCGTCACAATCTTGGCAAGTTTCATGATTCAGATGAAATTCTTTTGTGCTAATTTTCGCATCATTCATTCGCGGAAATGATCGTTTTATTGTAAAGAATCATTTACTCAGCACCTGAGCACCCGTTGTAATTTACGTAGCTTATTATTCATACGAGCGAAATGTTAACATTGTTATAACCCATGAACAGGCGGTTTATTAGCATCTGCCGTCTGGACTTACAGCCGACTGCAATTGTAAATGTGTAAAGTCGAGCCTCCGAAACGGATGCTCGTTTTTTTTGCACGCGGCTGAGCCTAATGACATCATGATGGCAGACACGGTATTGTTCATGCTCGTCTGAAATGCGTCCGTGTTGAGGTACGGATTTAATGAATGACGTCGACCGACCGACCGACAACACTCGAAAAATTAGGGTTGTCACGGATCTGAAATTTCATCACACCATTCGCATATGCATCGACAACAACAGTGTCTATTTCCTAAGTGCCTACTGGCGACACATGGATTCGATTTAAGTTGCCGATTATACATAGTTTTGACGAGGGGAAACGCAACATCTAGTAAACATTTCTCTCACTCTCACAATTTCTCCGCTCGATAGATACCAGATGCCATCCATATTTCATTCATCTAAAATTGGATGTTCGGATCGCTGTTGAGTTTCGAAAGTGTATGAATAACATATTTAGCCTTATTTTTAAACATCTTTTATTTTTCTACTGTTGTGTTTTTGTAGAATATTCCATTCAATTTTGACAATCTGGCAGCCAAAACTTTTGATTGTGCGTGTGCAAACAGCAAAACCGGTTCCGATTGATCATATTCATTACAATAATAATTCTGGCTAATTCTTTTGAGAGAATTCAACACAGAAACAAGCGAAAAGAATCTGTTTATGGATATTCCGAAATGAAGCCATCGATTTTGAGTGAATTTCTTTGAATTTCAAAATGAGTTTTCAACTTTTCGATCGTGTTGAATGGAATGAGCTTGTGATTGGATTAACTTGTTCAGCTATATCAACGGCTGTGTTCATATGCAAATATTGAACAAAAACTATTTAGCGTCCATCACTTTTATTAAATCTCAAGTCCAATGTATCAGTCGAATGAGATTGACACCCAAACCCATGAGCATGAATTTCAAAACACACACACACACATACTCAATGTGTGATTCGTCAATGTTCACGTTTATTTGCCATTTTATTAAATCAAATTCTAACGAACGACAATTGAAACATGAAATATTTGCCTTTTCTGTCTTGCAACAATGGTTCGATGCTATTAGCGTTGTGTTATGCGCCAGTGATATGACACTGTACGATTGAGATTGACGCCTATTTAGTTGAATGAATGTGTAGTTGATGAATAGCCGTGTAACCTAAATGCCTATGTGTATGCATGTGCGCGCGCTCGTACACGAGAGACACTTTGTTTGCCGTTTCGTCGATCGAATGTTAAATATTGGTTTGCATTTCGAACCAGTATAAAATTCATATATAATTAAGCAAGAAAAGTCAAAACGATGTAAAGAAGAACCGTTACACAGACACATTCCGTAAATGTTGGCAGAGAGAACTTATCACCATATGTGGTCAGTTTAGCCAGTCGCTTCTCTTTGAAATGTTCACGCAAACGCGAACAAAAAGCGGCGCAGCTTCGAAGAGACACATACTTCATTGAAATCAATGTCGAAATACACTCATTTCAGTTGTAATTTTCAATTATTGTTTTTGTTTTCACATACATAGATCAATAAAGAGCCATCATATCTATTGTTAATTTGGAGCGGCAACAACGAAAACTGGCCGCATTGATCGATTCCTCTTCTCTTGTTGTCGATTTAGTTCGAAGCGGGAACTGTTTTATACGTCTTAAAACTGGGAATTTGCCTCGTCGAATATAGAGAACCATGCGGAATTAAATTGTAATTTATGAGTAGCCAACATCTTCGGTTCGAAAATGAAAAGATAAATCGTTGTAACCTCAATTCCAACGTGATTATGACGTCATTACGACTGACTGTTGCTCAACACCAGCATTATGAGGCTCTTAGACATGCAACGCAACTGCAAATATTTCGACTGAATTCGGAATGCAGACTTTGTTTGCGGGCGCACATGATTGAGATCGTTGACATTAGATAAATTACGATGATTTCGAAAAATAGGCAAAAAAAAAACACACTGCTGACGAAAATATCCAACGGAAAGATCCGATGATTACTGTATTTCCTTTGTCACTGCGATACCTGGTCAAAGACATTCGTTTTTCAGTATCTTTTAGCACTCTTCTCTTTTTTCTCTCTTGCTCTGCTCTGTTCTCTTCGCATACATTTTATGAATTTGGTTATTCGATCAGATTCACATATTGAATAACTAATGACAAACACGCGTCTCTACACTAAGCTAATGCTCGATCGTTTTTGGTCCGGCAAACGACAAACAAACAAATATGGGCACACGTTGTGCATGCGCGATATACAAAGCTGTATAAAATCGAAACCTCACGATTTACACAAAGAAAAATCATATCATTCGAGACGCGAGTCACTCATGTGTAATCAAATACACGGAAAACCAACACTGATCGCGAGATCAATGACCATTTTGTTTTCTTTCGCTCCCCGGTGCAACTGTCGTAATTATGCTAATCGAAAAGTCGATTTCCTGATTATTGATTTGCAACCAAGCTTACTCAAATTTCAAATGACTTTTTTTTGCGCTTTCATCACTTGAAATTGTGGTGCAATTTTGTTGTTGATATCTTTGAAATGACTTGTATTCGCTCACAAATGACTCCACCAAAATAGATCAAAACCATGCAAGAGAGGAAACTGAATTGGAAACATTTTTACATAGCACAAAAAAAAACGTTCTGAATGAATTGAGTTGATAGCGAAAAATAGAAATTGTCACATATTCAACCGGGCCCCATTCTCAGGCATTACTTTAATCAAACGCAATTGATAAATTTGATTTGATTAAACATTTGATTGACATGCAACGAGATGCATCGAATTTTGTCTTTATTCCAAGACTTTTTTGACATGGGTTTTGAGACGCCAAATTGCAATGGATGCAATTTTTCTGGCCTGAATTAGACAATCTTATTATTCAATTGCGATCAATTCAATTAACATGACGATCCAATGCAAGATGCTGACCGGAATCGATGTAGATGCGAATTTTCATTACTTCTGGGATGCGTTTTTTCGTTGGCTCTTGCATGTTTTTGCAAATTCAATTGAAAATGCTAATGAATGCTGACAAGTAGTTTTCTGTTTTGTTGATTCGATAGAATGCACTGGGCCCGTTTCTTAATTGCCACGGCATATATTGCAAAGTGTGTAATACAAACGTTATCC